TCTGACTCTGCTCTGACCTTAAGTGTCCTTGTCCTTGTCTGTGAATGACACCTAGCGTGTTATCATTCAATAGAGGAACAGGAGGGATGGAGGCGGATCAGGAGGAGGCCTGACAACTCTTAAGTGGACCATAAACGGCAACAAATGCAAATGCAAATGAAATTATTGCAGTCAACGGGCAGAGCGGGCAGGCCTCCATTTCTCTCAATGCCCAACGAGTGAAGCGCCGCTGGTAAAAGTGTTTGCATATGCAGGAGCACATTGCGGCCATAAACTGTAGTTCGACCACGCCCCGTACCCATTGAGCGGCCACAGCCGGAGAGAGCTACGACCCCATAAAGCCATTGGCAGCCGACTGCATTTCAGCGATATAAATATTTATATAAGTTAATCGGTTTATGGTGCACGAGTAATTGAATTTCGCGACGGCGCCAGGTAAATGCTACCAGGTAACATGTTCCAGGACCCCCACTCCTAGGTGGGATTTGCCAGCCTCCGGCCTCCAGCCGCCATCTTCCGATTCCCATTCCGGATTCGCCTCCTGTGTCACGCGGTCAGAGCCATGTTGGTTTACCCCTCGCTTTAAACTTGATTTCTTACTTTTTGCATCCGTTGGCGAGTGCTGCAGCATGTGTACCACGGGCTTATGGTTGCCATGTGGAGGGTATATAGGACTGCGACCCAAATTAAAAGCAAGCCGAACAAAAATGATCCTGTTTTTGTTTCTACAGAACACAAGAAACCATAGCATCCCAAAAAAGAGCTACTTCTAGACCGACCCAGAGTATCAGGCTGACCCATTCCTCCCACTGAAAGTCCCAGCATCCGACAAGCTCCAACATGGCGCCAACCGGAAGTGCCAGCCCGTTCAGCAATGGCCGACCCAGAGCTCTGTTTCTATGGCACTTCCGCTTTACTGCACATTAATTGCAATTAAATTTGGAATTACTACCATCCACTCTTCCTCCTTCTCTTCCCCCTCTCCCTCTCTCTCTCTGCATCTTCTACACTCGTCCTCTCTCCTTTGATCGTTGCTCTCTTTCCACGCAAATTTAATGATGCCTGCAATTTTTGCTCGCTGCATTTTTCCTCTCCTTTGCATAATTTAAAAATGTTTGCTTTGGCAGCCGCCGCCGCCGCCGCTGTTGCTGTTGCTGTTGCAGTGGATATGGATGTGGCCTGAGCATGGGGCAACTGTGGGTGGAAGGTTGCGTGGCAATGCCCCTATTTGACGTTGCCGCTGTTGCTGCCACAACTGCTTCTGTTGCTGCCGCTGTGGCGCTGTTTTCAATTAACTGTGCGTCTAACTAAATGGCAAGTAAGTTAATGTTTATAGTTCATAAATACGCAATTTATATGCACTATCCCACCACTCCACCACACCATAACACCCACCCCCCATCCCTCCTCTCATGTGTATGTGTGTGTGTGCCTTGCTGATTTTGATGGCGCTGTTTCGGTTGCATTGGGCGTAAATTTTAATAATTTATTTGAGTCATAATATTTAATGCGGCTTGCAGTCAAGTGGGACTGAATCACTGAAAAAACATTCCGTTCTAGCATCGGAGGAGGACCCTAAATGTTAATTAATAAAATATAATTGCAGATTTTTGATTGCTTCATTCGCGTAAACATTTATAGCCGGATGTGGGGGCAGAAGTTGCCTGCCGCAGCCAGGCATCCGCGAAGGACACGAAGAGTCCCCATCTTGTGGCGGCTCCAACTCTGTTCCGTTCCTGTTGTTGCCAAAAGTTTAATTGCCTTTCGGGCCAAAAAGTTTACAAAATCTGTGCTATGCATTTTGCTAACATTTCCGGTGACTTCTCGCTGCTGAGGCGTAGTCCTAGCCACCACAAGACTGCTCGCCGTGCCACATTCCACAGTCAAGTCTGCCTCCTGCCACTCTACATCCAAGACTGTCTCTTGCCCCACTCCATCCACTCTTTATCCTTTTGAACTACATTGCCTGGTGTGGTTGGGTGTCTCCTTCGGTTTGTATGCCCTTTTAATTGCCCATTGAAAGTTGTTCAGTTGTTAAAGTGAACTTTCGCCCCTGCCAAGTTGCATGTTGCACGTTGCACGTTGCAAGCTGGAAGTTGCCAGTTGCCAGTTTCCAGTTGCTAGTGAAGTGAAATGAAGTGTAAGCAACAACAAGCGTGAAAGTAGTGTGTGTTATGCAATTAAAAGTACGATGGCGATGGCGGTGGCGGCGGCACCCACACACCCCCACACACAATCGATAGGGTTTCAATTGGACGACAACAAACCAATTTGCCGCAACCTATTTAAGGATCAGGATATTGTCGAGGATATGCTCCTTGGCAAGCCACCTCCCTGGTCCCCCCCAAGTCAAACCGCAGCTGCTCGTAATGAGTTTTCCATGCATACCACGCAGACAGTTGAGACAGATTTCTCGCAGCTAACATTATGTGACAGCTGCAGACAGAAATCATTCCATTTCATTCCACTCCCATCTAACTATCCCTTTCCCAGTGGATAGCACAGAGCAGACAGCATGAAAATTATGTTGCATAGTTATGTGGAATGGCTACGGGACGGGACGGACTCGTATACATAAACGTATACGTATACGTATTCGTATCTCGTAGATTCTTTTATTTCCAGACTAGCTGTGGCTGTACCCACCGCCCCTCCTCTTTTCTTGGCCTGTTGTCTGCTGGTGACTAGCAGGGCAGCAACAATATATTTTTCTGATTTTCCACTTGCATTATCACGTCTAAAAACTGTCTACCATTAAAACATGTGTATTGTGTGCATTGTCTGTTCAGTCTAGCGGGCACTTCGGCTTTGTCTAGTCAAAGAGGGGGCTATACTCGTTGCGGGTTGCAGGAAATAAGGCAATATATAAACATAATTTAGGGATGAATCCAAGCAAAGGAAACCTTACCGAACTGGCTGTGATGCCATGGAAAATTGTATAAGTAATGTTTCAGCTGGGAGAATTTCTGTGAATAAATGGTAAAACTCGACTCGAAAACTGTGCAACAAAATTGAACAAAAGTTCAGTGGCTTCTCCCCATGAGAGCAATGAGAAGATGAGACCAAATGTATCTGGAAAACAAATATTATTTCCAATTGCATTTGAAAGGTGAAAAGCCAGTTTTGAATTGAAAATTCCTTACAACTGCAGGTTCATCTTTGGTGAATATTTCCAATAGTAATTTTGTTAAAAACACACACTTGTCAGCTACCAAAGATCTCTAGAACATAGGGCTGAATAATTGTATATCAAGTAGTTATGATTTTTGCATCTCTAAGGGTAATTTCTGTCCTGTATCTCATAATGTATGTTCATAAGTTAAGGGGCTTTTCCTGTTATTTGTTACTGTTTACTTTGTTCCTGTTTATTTGCGATGTTTATGGTATTACTTCACTCGTTTGCCAACCTTTAACCAAGATTAACAGAACCATTGCATGTGGTAGATGTACAGTCGAGAGGAAACTCAGCTCAAATAAGCTATTCACTCTGTGGTCTTCCCAATTTGAACTCGGGCCTCAACTGACTCAACTGATTTCCCATTCATTTCATCGCAACCGCCTAGGGAGAACGCAAGTCGATAAATAACCCTACCGAAAGTGATACAATCCAGCCTAGCGCACCCCTCTCTGCACCATTTGCGGCTAAGATATGGCATCATGAGTTGCATCTGCTGGTATCATTCGCACCCATCCCCGGCGGACCACTTTCCCGTCGGCATCCATTGACTTGCCCCATTAATTAAGTTTGTGCTGCTGTGCGTGCAGATAAGATGCACTGCCCCAGACTCCAGGGCACCGCACGCCTTTCCTGGTCGTGCAATTGACTTAATAATTGGCCCCAAACATTTTAATGAGCAGCTGCCTGTCAGCGTCACGTTTTCCGGAACGGAACGATGTCGGAGAAGACGGAGCGGAGCCAATGCAAAATATTTGCAAGAAATGGCATTGGCATAATTAAGATGATGGGGATGTTGATGTTGGCTCAGGGGAGGCGGAGCGGTTCTTGAGACGGCCGGGTTCGGATATAATGTCATCTGACTGAGGCGGAAATTTGAATGCCGAGAGTGTGCTAATGTTAATATGATATGCAGCAGGAAATACAAGCATCATCCGAGCATTTCCATATGCTAGCCCGAGCTCCATTAAATTCGAATGCACAAACATTGCGTATACGACGTGTATGCTTGTGCGGCAAGACAGGTGACAGATGCAGCAGGCCACACCTCTTTTCCCGCCCCCCCGCGCTCACTCATCCATGTGCGTTAACACCTGAGCAGAGCCCAGCAAGACATTTGAGATCTGCTGCTCTATTCTCTCCTTCCCCCACTCTGCAGGCACGTCTGGTGGCCTCTCACACGCCAGTCAAACGTTCCTCGCCTCGAATAGCGTAGCCCTCCTTGTCACTTGCCCCTGCATAGCTGCCTTCGTGCGGCTGTGGCACGTAATGACATGCGGCTGCCAATGCTGTGGACGCGCATTGAGCAGAGAGCATTGCCGGCACCTCCAGTGCCTTGCATAATTTATACAACCACCCAAGCCGCCAAAAAACCGCAAATCTCGCAGCGCTTCGTTGCACACATCGCAGCATCGGTGGCAACAACAGCAGCAGCGAATGCCCCGAGACATGTTGAAGCTTGAGGGACAGCTTAAACTAGCCATTGTCGGTTGCATGACAACGACATATTGATGGTTATCCGACTTACAGGGAAAGTAACACGTTCACCATAATAAATGGGAGCGAGCTGACTGGCGTTTAAGGGACATTTCATCTCGATTTGCAATGTGCCTTAGAATCCGAATTAGTTTTCAGTTGAATAAATATGGCTTTTAAAATGTATGCATGTTTGTATCTATTATTGTATTGTAAATGAACCACAAACTTGATATATTTTTAGATAATTTGTTCCTAATGGTGATATAAAATAAATATATTCTATGTACAAATACTAGTTTTATTTACATAAATATATGTATTATTATAAATAAGTAGGCATAAATACTAAATTGAATGTTTTTATATCTTTAGTATACTTTGGAACAATTTCACCTTACCGAAAACCCTGAAATCTTAACTGAATACCTACTGGAAAATGATATTGGTCAGTTATTTTATGTCTTGGATAATGAAGGGAAAGCACCTTAATCCCTTACTCCTGCAACTTCAACTCTGCAAACGTTTGTGGCAATCTGTCGCCAAGTTCCTCCTTAAGTTTTTCGGACAGTTCCAATTCATCAGCAATTGCCAGGTACTGGCCATAAGGCAACGATGTCAATGCTGACTCCGCTGTTAGCTCAAACCGTTTGGGAAACTTTGGGGATGTGGCCCACTTGGCCAGCTCTAATTCCAGCGTCCAGCATGCAGCCAAATCCTTATAGTATCCCTTTCGTAGGGCGTCAACCTTCTCCAACTCAACCAAGTGCTCCAAGCTTCTCTCGTGGTTGGCGGTAGCATCGATGGCTCGCATTAGGAGAGCACTGGTCAGTAGAGTCCACTTGCTATCGGGCTCGTACTCCAGGAGATCGAAACAGGATTGCAGCTGCGTTTGGAGTTCATCCAACAGCTCTTTGCTGCAGCTGGAGGCAGCATGGGGCGGCACAAAGTAGAAGGCACCATCGCCTGTGGGTAGAGGTAAGAGTTTGATCTCCTGCTCCGACAGCTTCAAGGAGTAGGATCTATCCTTTTGGTAGTCAATCGGTGTCTGGTTTTTCCAGGTGGTTCGCCTGCTGTCCGCAGGCTGCCAGGACTGTAACTGCCATGAGTCTTCATTACTTGAAAGCCCAACCTTCAACTGTTCGAAGTCTGGACAGGGTTTCTTAAATGCTATGACTGCACCAGTCACTCCCATGCGAAAGGCAACCACCTTGGGGGCCTGATCCGCTTGGGCGCCACCGCCCAGCAGCCAGCGCTGATAGAACCAGGCGCTACTGTCGTTGGGATCGGTGAAGGCGGCGGTGAGCACCATCTCCAGCTCCTGCTGCAGCTTCTCCTCGCTCATGGGTCGGTCGCGCTGCTCGTTGGGGTAGAGCGTCGGCAGCAGGAGGCTCCGGTGATGCCAGCTGGAATAGTTTGAAAAGTTAACCTTGATCTTTTCAGTGCAAAAGTCCAGCTCTTGCTCTGCAGGCACGGCCGCCTTGGCGGTCACAAAACGCCGGAAGTCCCAGGTGTGAAAGTTTCGCTCATCGTATTTGAGATACTTGTTGCAGAGCTGCACCTCCCGCTGCCAGTCTGCCTGGGGATTCTGCTCGAGGGTCCAGCAGCGATGATGCCAGGCATTGTATGACTTGGGATTAACCATCAGACACTGTTCTGTGACGTTCAACTCTTGGCCGTACACAGATTGTAGCTTATCTTCCGGTGCAGCAGGTTTTTCCTCCGCCCCTGCTTCCGCCTGGACCTCATCGGACTTGTTGGACTCTGCTTCCGCCTCTGATAGCTGCTTGATTTTCTCCAGCACACACTCGCGACGAATGTTCCACAGCGTGGTCACGTCTGGATTGCGATGCAGGATTTGCACCGTCAGGCCAAGCATTTCGTCATCGAGTTCTCCTGCATCGCGCTTCTTGAGTATCCGTCCCATGGCTGCCCGGTAGGCCCGGACCTTCAGCGCATGTTCCTTCTTCTTGCGCTCCCGCTCCTCCTCAGTGGTGCGCACTTTCACACGGCCATGCATCGTATTTTGTTAATATATTTTAAATTTCTTTAAAAAAAATTAACAAAAAACTAGTCAGCAGCTGGGATGGGATCAGTGTGACCGTGGACTTAAATATACCGAAACATACCGTCACATTTAAGAAATATACCGTAAATATACTGACGAATTCTATTTCGTTGATTCTATATGAAGAGGTATATTTTGAAAATAAGACGGTATGTTTCGGTATATACACACTGGCGTACATTCTCCATATTGTTTTTAATTTTATCTAAATTCTTTGTGAAAATTTGTTTTTTGGTAGCACTGCACGAATAATTGGGATCAAGACCCTGATTTTTTGTGTGACTTAAAACCAGAACGCACAGAAACTGTTTAACTGCATTATAGTGCAGCAATTCGCAATCAGTTAGTTGCTTTTTTACGCATCAGAAAGTCTTAGACATGGGAAAGAAAAATAGTAAGAATACTACAAAATTTTATTATTTAAGTAAGTTACATGCTCCATCCTATTTCATTATCTTAGAATATAAGGAGGCTGAGAAGCCTGTGCCCCCTGCAGCACAGCCACAACAACAACAACAAGGTAAGTGAAATGCACTACAAATACCCACACAACGTATGCAAAAAATCTTCTAGCATCTTCTGTATATGTATGTTGTATCACTAACCATACAGTATATACTGTATGGTTAGTGGTTGTATGTATATACATATATGTACATATAAAATGTAACTTCCATTCCTCCGATAAGCTTTGTAAATACATACATATGTACATACATTCGTATGTATGTATGTGTGTTTAAGGCCGTTGTCAATATCGGGGGAATCACGAAATTCGCCGAGCCTCTGATGAAATCAATTTGGTGTGGGCTGACATGTGCACGAAAGATTCCTTTGTTTAGAGGAAAACACTAGATTTTAATATTTTTGTTTTCCACTAAAATTTTGAGCAGCTGCTGGTGCACCGGGTGCTCAGAACAGACCCACTCAAACTCCATCCACAAGCTCCGCCGCTTCTGGGTCCCAACAACAGCAGGGAGGATGGCGAACACAGGACAGTCACCAGCAGCGCTCTCAGGCCGGGCAAGGCTGGCAGCAGCAAGGAGGCGGACAACAGAGAGGACCGCAGCAGCAAGGCGGCGGACAACAGAGAGGACCGCAGCAGCAAGGAGGCGGACAACAGAGAGGACCACCCCAACAGCAGGGCGGCTATCAGGGTCAGCAAGCACAGGGGCAATACCGCGGGCCGCCACAACAACAGGGTGGCTATCAGCAACGTCCTCAGGGTCAGCAAGCACAGGGGCAATACCGTGGTCCGCCTCAACAACAGGGTGGCTATCAGCAGCGTCCTCAGAGTCAGCAGGGACGGGTCCAAGGAGGCGCGGCTCTGCCGCCTCTCCCAGCAGGCACCATGAAGCGTGGAACTTTGGGAAAACCAGGTCAAGTATCTGTCAATTACCTCGACGTTAACTTGGACAAAATGCCAGCTGTGGCCTACCACTACGATGTGAAGATCACGCCAGAGCGTCCTAAGAAGTTTTATCGTCAGGCTTTTGATCAGTACAGAGTTGAACACTTGGGCGGTGCGATTGCCGCATTTGATGGACGTGCATCGGCCTACTCAGCTGTGAAGCTAAAATGCAGCTCCCAGGGCCAAGAAGTCAAAGTAAGTGCTGTTGTGTATTTCGCTGAGCTTGAGGAACCTTTGAAGTAAATATTGCTTTCTTGCCGTCCAGATATTAGATCGCCACGGCCGTACCCTGACTTACACTGTGGAACTCAAGGAGACAGAGGACACGGAGGTCGATCTGAACTCGCTGAGAAAGTGAGTGAACCGTTATATTGAACCAAATGTGTCGGTAGAGAATCGGCATAATGCAATTTTCCATTTTTTCATTTTTGCAGCTATATGAAGAATAAGATATATGACAAGCCCATGAGAGCCTTGCAGTGTCTGGAGGTTGTGTTGGCGGCCCCCTGTCATAACACCGCCATACGCGCCGGTCGCTCGTTCTTCAAAAGGTCAGAGCCCGGAAAAGCCTATGATCTGAACGACGGCTACGAAGCTCTAGTTGGACTCTATCAAACATTCGTGCTTGGCGATCGTCCGTTTGTTAATGTGGACATATCGCACAAGTCCTTTCCGAAGGCCATGACGATCATTGAATATATAGAGCAGTATCAGCGCCAGAAAATTGACAAAAGCACAAATCTTGACTACAGGCGTTACGATATCGAATCATTCCTAAAGGGCATGAATATAATATACGATCCGCCTGCCTGTTTGGCCAGTGCCCCTCGCGTCTTCAGAGTCAATGGGCTTACCAAGTTTCCGGCTAGCAGTCTGAAATTTGAGCTGGACGGGAAGCAAACAACAGTTGCAGACTACTTCCGGTCTCGGAAATATAATTTAATGTATCCGAACCTGCTCTGCTTGCATGTTGGGCCGCCGCTGAAAAACATTTATTTGCCTATCGAACTATGTCGCATAGAGGATGGGCAGGCCCTGAATGTGAGTTCAACAAGTTTCTTTCACTGCAAATAATTTCCTGATTTGATTTCCTTACATCGCATTGCAGCGCAAGGATGGAGCCAATCAGGTGGCGGCCATGATTAAGTATGCTGCCACTTCCACCAACGAGAGGAAGGCCAAGATCATCCACTTGCTCGAATATTTCAAACACAACTTAGATCCGACCATCAGCCACTTTGGCATTCGCTTGGAAAATGACTTCATTGTGGTGCATACACGCACCCTCAATGCGCCCCAGGTTGAGTATAAGAATAACAATTTGGCTTCGGTGAGGAACGGTTCGTGGCGCATGGATCGCATGCAATTCTTTGAACCCAAGCCAAAGCCACATAAATGGGCTATACTCCACGGTAAGATTAACTACATGAGTGTGGTCGATTTTCAGGGCATGGTAAGTTGTGCACGGCTGGAAGCAGAATTTCACTCAGATCCTGACTTATTTTCTTTTCAGATAATTCAGCAGAGTCGCACCGTCAATGTGTGCCTGAATGAGAAGGCCGATATACGGAATTACAGGGATGAGCGTGAACTGGATTCTCATTTCCAGGACTTCAAAAAAAATCAATTTGATTTGGTGTTCGTTATTATACCAAATTCCGGGCCCTTTTATGATGTCGTGAAGCAAAAGGCTGAGCTGCAGCATGGAATTCTCACACAATGCATCAAGGAGATCACAGTCCTGCGTAAATGTAACCTGCAGTGTATTGGCAACGTTCTGCTTAAGGTCAATTCCAAGCTAAACGGAATTAATCACAAGCTAAAGGATGACCCACGCTTTCTGTTAAAGAATGCGATGTTCTTGGGTGCTGATGTAACTCATCCATCGCCAGATCAGCGTGAGATCCCCAGTGTGGTGGGGGTTGCCGCCTCCCATGACCCATTCGGGGCTTCATATAACATGCAATATCGCTTGCAACGCTCTGCCTTGGAGGAGATAGAGGACATGGAGTCGATAACTCTTGAGCACTTGCGTGTCTATCATCAGTTCCGCAAATCCTATCCCGAGCATATTGTCTATTATCGTGATGGCGTGAGCGATGGTCAGTTTCCCAAGATCAAAAATGAAGAGTTGAGAGGAATTTCTGCGGCCTGCAGCAAGGTAAGTTGAACTCTTGCCTCCAGAAGCCTCATCATTTTCTATCGCTAATCACCCTTCGTCTCCTTTCAGATGCGCATTAATCCCAAGATTTGCTGCGTCATCGTAGTTAAGCGGCATCATACACGCTTCTTTCCGAACGGAGCTCCATCGCAATACAACAAGTTTAACAATGTTGATCCGGGAACGGTCGTCGATCGCACCATTGTTCATCCCAATGAGATGCAGTTCTTCATGGTCAGCCATCAGTCGATTCAAGGGACGGCCAAGCCGACGCGTTACAATGTGATTGAGAATACGGGCAACTTGGATATAGACTTACTGCAGCAATTAACATACAATCTTTGTCACATGTTTCCCCGTTGCAACCGCGCAGTGTCTTATCCGGCTCCGGCATATTTGGCACATTTGGCTGCGGCACGTGGACGTGTCTATCTCACTGGGTGCGATATTAATGCTATTATGGTTACATTTATTTGTTCTGACGATATATATCTTGACTGCTTCTCTTACAGCTGCACCAAGTTCCGCACTCCAAAGGAGGAATACGCAAAGCGGTTGATTGTTCCAGAGTTCATGAAAACGAACCCCATGTATTTCGTGTAGGCAGAACAATAAAACGTTTTTATTGTCAGATAATCTGACTCTATATCATCTATACCAAAATTTTTCATAAGTATGATTCCGATGAAAAAGCGAACTTTACCCACTTAACCCCCCTCTAGTTAAACAGGCGAACACATTGAGTTAAACCGCGGAATATGGTACTGTTTGTTAAAGTTCTATGAATTTTAATAACTGATAAATAAACTTTCAACTTTATTTCGAAGTCAAAATAATACAGAAAAGTATATATTATATACTTTAAATATTATATTTAAATATTATATACCGTAAATGGTAAACAGAACTTAGCATTAGTACGCTGACAGAAGGTGACTTCTGTTGAAACGAAGTATAGATGGCGTTTCTGGTTGCTCATCGGACTGACTTGTTTTAAAAAATTCTCGGCAATGTAACAGGTAAAACTTTTTTTTAATAATTTTTGACAAGGCAAAATAGTGTTTCAACCATCAACCTGACGGAAAAGAAAATTATTCCTTTTGGGCAAGGTTTATATACGGAACTCTCAAAATGTAAGCAGAAGGACCAATAGGTCGAACGTCTGCAACTGGAATTTTCTATTATTTCGAACTAAAACGGGTGGCAGCAGCATTTAGGGAGCACATTATATCCAACTTTGTCCAAGTCCAAGTCTCCATAAGGCATTCGCTTATGTTGGATAATAGTGGTTCGATTTATGGAAGTTCAACTGTAACTGTATCCATAAATAATAATTAATATTGGTTGACTTTTTACGGCGAAAAAGTAAGTTTGTTGGTAAACAGCGATTCTTTCATCTAATTTCGCAGAATGTCCTTTCAGTTTTCTGTCCTTGAACCCCAATACATAAAAACATTAAAAAGTTTGTAGTGTATACTTTTGAGATGTATCTTTATCTGCGCCTTGATTCTCGCTACAGATACGATACCAGAATGTTCAAAACAGAAGTCTCAAACGAACTAAAAGAACCAGGTTTTCCATTGTTCTGGCATGGAAAATTTCCTCGGAATTTCAATGTAGTACGTATGTATGTATATTATTTTGAATTGGATATATATGTCTGCCCTGATCAGTATGAAAGAAGCGTCTATATATAGCTGTAATTTTCGATATCGATTGTGCCCATATTGATATCCAGAACCCATTGTATGCATCTTTCACAATAGGGGTCAGGTGTTTTTGATTGACTAGTGAAATGACTTTACTACCAGAAGATCGATCCTATATAAGCCCCGAAACCCGATTGATTCTACAGTTCAAATCGAACATTCGACCCGAGTCTTTTGAGAATGAAGCTTATTTTGGTTTTGGCTTGTCTGGCACTTTATGTGGCCCACACCTCTGGCCAGGTCAACTGCCGTGGACGTCCCGGTAAGTCAAGATCAGTTCAGTTTCGAGCTTATCAACTTACAGGACATTATTTCTATGTTTCTGTAGCGATCCAGGCATGCACTGGCGGCCGGCATGAAGGCCACAACCGAAATAGGTCCTGTCCAGCGAGATTCATGCCCGTAATGTGGTGGTACAACCCACGCGTCAGGGACTGCCAAACGATGAGGTACTTGGGCTGTGGGGGCAACAACAACCGCTACTGCTCTCTCGCCGACTGTCGTCGTCGGTGCATACGCCGCTAGATACCCGCTCCGTTCCATCCTGATGCTGATCCTTTCTTTTGATGAGTGCTTTTGATATAAAATAAATAATACATTACTTACGCAAAGTTATTGGGATTATCGATAGTGATCTGCTCATGTGCGCGCCACTGTTTGTAGATGGTCAAACGTGACCATTTATCAGAAAGAACATGCTACAAAAAATACTTAAAACAACACAACACGAGTATAGCACAAGAAAGCAATGGATATCGAGTACCCGTCGCAATTGAAATTTGAAAGCAGAATCTGTTTTGAATGCCTTTCTCTTCACCGCACGAGTGTTTTGAATTCCAGGGAACTCCACGGAGAAATCAAGCGAATCAATCTACTAATTTCTGTTCTCTAAATGATTCATTTACATGAAGTGTTATGCGCTTTTCGCACCAGCAAGATTCATATCCTTTGAAGTCCAATTTGTTTGCATTTGTTGGTTAGTGGATTATAGACGGGTTTTCATTATTTTTTCACTTCCGTTGTCTTTACTTTCCAGGGTCCCTCGCATCTCATTTTGGGGTACCTATAACACAAGAAAGATGCGAAAAGCCTGAAGAACTAAAGAGAAGAAAAGAACCGAAATCATGGATTCAAATAGCGATTTAATGGTGAATGCATTAATTACATCAGTATTCGTCCAGTCTTACTCTATTGCCATTTTAATTTGTCCTTGACAGGGAGGATACCACAGAGGTTCTCAATGGGATTCAGGTATACACTGTGCACTGTCGCATTGTACTGTTGTGAAACTTATTGCTACTCTTGATTTAACTTACTTTTAATATCCGATGAACACTACTAGACAGAATTAGTCCAACTCCAACGCATGTTCTTTAATTCGGTCATAGTTGAATTAAAATCCTCTTTTTTGTAACGGAATGAGCACGCTGACACAAGGTGGCTGCTGGCAAGACGAAGCATAGATGGCGCTGCATGCTGTTTTCGTTAGTTGCATCGGCCACAACTTCAAATTGTTTTTAATAATTCAAAATCTTTGTTTTTATTTTTATATAAAACCAATCAAACAATTAATGATTTTTTTAATAACAGTCGACAAACCCATATGTATTTTAACAATCAGTTCGACAATTGTTATTATATATTATGTATATTATTATATTATACAATAAAATTCCCACACGTTCTCTCGCCTGGAAGGTTCAAAATATTTATGAAATACACCCAGTAATTGCAAAGGTCTGTCTTTGTTTGTCTGTCCGAACGTAACTACGCTACTGTAATATATACACAGTATCTCAACACGCTCAGTATTTTAGTTCTATAAAAAGGACTTTGAGCACAAATTGCCAACAGTTGAAACACATCGTTTAAGCTAACAGCTTGGACAATGCCGTATGATCCGCAAATCACCTACGATGATATGCTCAAGGTGTGGAGTGGAGGCGAAAGAGCGAACTATTTCGCACCTCACCTTTCCATTGGGGAGATCATCTTCCGGGAGATGGAAAGGCATCCAAAGCTCATTGCACAGGTATGCTGTTACGAGAATCGAATTCCACTATTAACTAAACTAACCTTCCAGATCTCAGCCACTGAGAAGACGGTGCTGACTCGGGAGGAGGTGCGTTTCAATGCGATGCGTGTGGCCACCTATATGCGAGGACTTGGCCTAAAGCAATGTGATATTGTGGGCCTCATAGCCAGGAACACCACGCACCTGGTGGCCGTGGCCTACGCCTGCTTTTTCAATGGAATGCCTTTCCACTCTATGAACATCTCCTACGAGCAGGACACCATTGAGAAGCTGCTTAGCATTACCAGACCCCGTCTGATATTCTGCGACGGGGATGAGTACGAGAGAGTTCTGGCAGCCACCGAGCACATCAAGCTGGACATCTCAATCATAACCATGCGAAACCACCCTTCGGGGTCCGTGCGGATTCAGGATATCCTGACCACACCCATTGAGGATAACTTCCGGCCAGCACGTCTGGAGCAGGGCCCCGATCAGACCTTGGCCATTCTGTGCTCCTCGGGGACCACGGGCGTTCCCAAGGCGGTTACTGCAACCAACAGCCACAATTGCATATTCCCCGGCTTGTAAGTCCATCGGAATGGTTGACTAGCTCACCATTGACTGTCTCCTCTCGCAGCCTCGTCACCACCGATGTTGTTCAGTACACGCACAGCACCGTGGATTGGTTTTCGGGCCTTTCCTCCATAATCAACGCTGGAGTTTTCAGCACTACAAATGTTATTGCTGACAATGATTTTGATCCCGCCTTCATGTGTCGTATGGTCCAGGAATACAGGATCGGGTTGGTCTTTCAATGTCCTTCCCACATGGCAATGCTGGCGAACTGCCCGGAATTCGAAGACGCTGACCTGTCGAGCATAAAGCATTACATTTTTGGTGGCTCCCGGTGCTCCCTGGATGTTCAGAATCGTGTCCGAAGCCGCCTCAATGGAGATCTGATCTTTAGCTATTCCATAACAGAGCTAAATAGCACGGGCACCTTGAACCTTCACTTTGATGAAAAGCCCAACTCAGTGGGTTGTCCAGTCGCTGGCAACAAAATCAAGATAATCGATGAAGAGGGTGTGGCTCTGGGTCCAAATAAAGTGGGTGAAGTGTGTCTCTTCAATGGCCAGCATTGGTCTGGCTACTATGGCAATCCCGAGGAGACGCTTATGATTCGCGACTCTCAAAAGTGGTTTCACACCGGAGATTTGGGCTACGTTGATGAAGATGGCTTCTTGTTTATAGATGATCGCAAAAAGGACATGCTCAAGTACCACAACATCATGTACTATCCCAACGAGATAGAGACAGTTATCTCCCAGATGCCTAACGTTGCCGAGGTCTGTGTATTTGGCATTTGGAATGCAGTCAATGGCGATGAGGCTGCAGCCTCTGTGGTGAAGAGGCACGGAACCAATCTGGTCGCCCAGGACGTTTTGGACTTTGTAAAGGAACATATTGATGCCCAGTATAAACAATTAAATGCTGGAGTCATCATTGTAGATGATCTGAAGCGAAGTGGAAATGGGAAAACCAATCGACGCGCCAACAAGGATCACTTTCTGAATGTTCAGAAGATCAACTAGCTTAAATCCCTAAGCGAGAGAAGGGAGAACCAAAAAAAAAACTTAATAATATACCAAGAACCAAGTCCAACACTTTATCCATTATATATTTGATAATTAATCAACACTAAAACCTATTTTATCGATTAATGAGCTGACAACTTTGACATTTGACAACTTCATTTTATTGATGAAGAAGATGATTAGACAACTTTTCTGCAGAAATAAAAGGGCTGGTGTGTAAGAAGAAAACCGAATTGGAATAAAAACACGAAAAAGTGGTACTCCCATCAGACAAACTCTAAAGTGAAGGTAAATATGGCACTTTTCGGAATCTTTTATTGCATTTTTACATTTTTTTCTCTAATTTTTTTCCAAGGAAAACGGTTTAGCTTTTTTTTTTGTGCAAAATGTCGCTGTCAAAGTTTAAGCGTGAGGATATGGAGTTTGTACCCAATGGGAACGTGATGGAACTCCGTCCAATACAGCAACTTCGACGAGCCAAGATTGATGCGGCCGCCCTCAAGGGGGGTCGCAAGCTCCGCAAGGATGAAGAGCCAAGGGCCCAGATGGTCGGCCGCTGGAAGCCCATTGATGACCTGGCCCTGTTGACGGCCATGGATCGGGTGAACAATGTTAAGATCGTGCATCGTGTATGCAAATTCTCGTGCATGTTCTCGCTCAAGGAGGTCCATCAGCGTTGGAAGGCACTGCTCTACTCGCCCATGGATTCGCAGACGGCCATGTCGGCCATCGAGAATCTACACCCGGAGACGGTGGCCACCGTTAGGGCTAATACGGTACTCAGTCCCGAGGAGGAGGAAGTAATCATGAGCATCAAGAGCTCGGAATCCCCCTCACTGGCAAAGTTTCAGGAGCTGATCGATCAGAATGCTGCCATCTTTTTGCGTGAACGAACGGCCCAATATCTGCAAATTTACTGGCGCGAGCTCCGCAAGTATATGCTGCTGCCTGATCAGGTGATTGCGCCGGGCGAGGAGGCGTCCTATCTGCAGAGCTTCTCCGAGGCCGAGGCGGAGGCCTTTCATGTCAATGTCCACGAGCCCATCGACGAGGCCCTGGACGCCGAGCTGGAGCTTCAGAGCCGTCGCAATAGGCGCTCCATTCGGTTGTTGGAGAACGAAATAACTCGTATGTCCGTCCTGGTGGACTGTGGTCGTGGTCCTCGAGAGCTGGACAACAATACGATTGCCTGTTTGTGCGGCCATCGGGTGCGCTTTCTGATGCAACATCCGGAGATCAACTTTGGGCGCGACGGTAACGAAGGCTCCGATTGGAAGGTGGATGTGAACCTGGCCCTGGAGGGTCCGGCCGAGAAGGTGTCACGTCTGCAGGGCACCATTAAGCTGCGCAACGATGGCATCATCTTCATTGCCAATGTGGGCAAGCGGACCATCTTTGTGCAGGGCGAACCCCTGCTTACGAGTCACAAGACACGACTCGACGACAATATGTTGGTGGAGATATGCGGCCTTACCTTTACGTTCATCATTAACCCCAATGCCATCGATGCCGTACGCACGCAGTGCGCCAAGACCTCGGAGCCGTTGAAGTAACAGAATCGATACAGGACCTGATCTGAGGAAGAGCCAAGTCAATTTTTTGGTTGGTTTCCGATGATAGAAATAAAGAGGAAGCACTATCGCTACTTATGTTCCTTAAATTAAATATATGTAAATTCAATTATTATTGAAATTTAAAACTATCGTAGACAATTTTGATAGTTCCTTGAAGATTTTTGTTTATCATATTGATTAAAAGTCTTAGGTCTTGTATTTGCTCTTCAAGATACATACTTAGACGCAAACCACTACAAAAATAAAAATACAATCCCGATCACTACATCGATTGTCCTCCGAACGCCCTCCTATTGGTGATTTCCAGGAAGTGAGCTTTGGTCGCACGTCGATTAGTTT